AGGTGGTTACTAAAAATACTATGCCGACTGCTCCAAGCTCCGTTTGCCGGGTCAAAGACCGCATTCGTTGATCCGAGTTTTATGACGCATCGCGTCTAAATTTTATACGTATTTTTAAAGTGAAAATAGTGGGTTATTTAGAGTGTTTCGTGCCGTAGATATTTTTTTCGACGCGTTGAATTCAAAGTTGACAGAAAATGTTGGTCGGTGCCAAGAAGTCGCTAACCAATCAACATATCACTCGCCTGGCTTTATCATTGCGGTCGCACTCTCTTCGCGAGATGTGGTTTGATCATAATACTTCAAAACACTCGTATTTATTTATCCTAAATCCAAATACGAGGTACGATTATTTGCTGGTATCGTACCAAGTGACGGTTTAATATTTTAACAGCAAAATCTAAATACCTATCTGAATATCTTTTCGATATTATGTTTGTTTTATTTATATTGGTTTTTTTTGTATTGGTATTTTCAATATTTTACAAAATTGATATTTGATTGTTTTAGAACATTCTTGTATAATTATTATTCCTGTATAACATGTTTCTGATGCAAAAATTGTTAAGGCTAAATATAATTTAAAATTAACATAACTTTCTATTAAATAAATATGATTTAAAAGAAAGTAATGTATTAAAAATTGTAAATATTTTGTTTGTGTCTTTAGTTGTATGCTTTACCATGTTGTTTGATTCAACTTCCTCATATTTTAATGTCTTCAATTTAAATTTGACAATTTATAATTTTGTATTTGTACAAAATTACCATACGACTATCGTGTACATCTGTTACATATAAACATACAAAAGGCTCATGATACGTGTTCGTGCATAAACTTCGTCGTTTATAAACCGATTTTGATGATTTTTTTTGTAAATCCGGATCTGATAATGGCATCCCAGAGAAAGCGATGGCAATCCTCAAACGTTATAGGTATTAACAATGTCTCTTAGTTTCCGCTTTCAAGTCGTTTGTTTTTGTTAAAAATTATAATTATTCAGATTACAGCCTATATATTTTATTAATTGCGTTTTAACTGCTTTTTCATATAAAAGAATTCATATTTTTTCCGAAGACTATATTATTCAGCTCTCGTCCGGTGTATGCTGTAGCCGCCCACTTTATAGTTGCTTGCTCGTTTGTCACGCCCTCTTATAAATTCTGATTGATGCATTTCCGTAACGTTATGATGTCACGTCAATAGAGGTCTTAGTAGCACGTCGAAGTGGTATAAAACTCCCAAGCGAGTAAGAGCATCTTGAATTCGTCAGATAACGTTTAACCCAGTAAGAAAGTCAATCGTACCATTATATAGGTATAGATTGTTTCGCTAGCTCATTCATGTCATATGACATTCTTTGATGACGAAGTCCGTCGACATTGACAGCCCGTTCGTTACTCCTGTCGCGTTCATTGTCTTCGCTCGCAAATTGATTCCGCCGTCCCCCATGTGTCTCTCCCCTAGCGAATCGACGGCACTCCGTGTTTGGGTCGCCTTATCTCGCTGGATCGGCGCTCTTGCGTTGTCTAGCGGTTCAACTTCTACCAAATTACAAGGGACAGCGAAGACAGGGCCACGTTCAATCGGCGGCCAGAAAAAGTAATTAGACCGGCTTTTTAACCGACTTCAAAAAGAAGGAGGTTATCAATTCGGATGTTTATGATTTGGTTTTTATGTATGTTCGGGCATAACTTCGTCATATATAGACGGATTGGCAAAATTCTTTTTTGTTCGTAATGGTTTCACTTCCAAGTGGTCCCACTGATATCAATTTCATATATAGATCAGATGATGATTTACGGAGATAGCAATGGAACTCTTCGAAATATGACAGAAAATCAACCGTGATTGCTGCTATCGAATAAATATGCCTTGTTTCATATGTAACGTTGTAATAGTTACTTCACTTTATCGTCATTATTTTATTTGACGTTGGTTCTTTTTTTGTTAAAAAACCTTTTATTCGTCTCATCTTTCGCTCATACCTCTAGACTAACTGTTGTAGGGCCACGCGTCCGTCTTCTCCGTTGCACGAACGCGCAGGTCCGTCCGGGTAAGTACCACGGCCTCACAGAAAACAGGCGTGAAGTGGAATACTTCTGCATTTCGTCTGGTGAGTGAGGTAACCGGGGCCCACTTTATTAAAAGATGGCAATGCATCTGCAACCCTACGGGTGTTGTAAATTATTTTCAATGGGCGGCGGTTATCACTTAACATCAGGTGACCCGCCAGCCCGTTTTCCACCTTCTCACATAAAAAAAGAATTACATTTGCGTGAGGAGATTACTACGGTTTTCTAATCAGCCCCTTCTATTTGGCCGTATCCGACTATAGCTGCTAATCGTCAACGCCTTTGGTCCTGATGAGATGTTTTATCTCTTTGTACTTTTTTATAGTATACTAGCTGACTCGGCAAACGTTGTTTTGCCATATAAATTATTTCTAGGGAATTTGTCAATCTGTACACATATAAGGAGAATTTTAAAGTGAGGAGCACGCATAAAGTGTTTTACAGGTTACACAGACATAGTTGACAGGGTGACAGGTACAGTTTGTATGGGAAAATAAAATTGTTGCAATTTAGGTTTTCCTTCCCTGGACTGTCACAAATATTTCAAAACCAAAATTAGCCAAATCGGTCCAGCCGTTCTCGAGTTTTAGCGAGACTAACGAACAGCAATCTATTCTTATTTATAAGATATAACGGAGAGAGCTCCTTAGATTGTTCGGATTGATAACTGCTGGTGATCTTCCACCATAGTACAACTCCTCAAGAAGCCTATTACCATCGACACTAACTTGAAGGTTGGCGGTCCACCACTGTACATATTTTATGCAACTTTCTGCCTCACAAACTTGTAAATCCACCGAAATAATGTAGTCTACAGCTGAGCCTTCGTTCTTCTATCCGTAATGTATTGACGTGATAGTGAAATAATTAATCTTCCCTTTTCTTACACCATTCACATTACATTCCACAATACAGAAACCTAGGATTTGGCAAAATTTTTAATCTGCAAATTATTATTATTTAACCCGAAACTAATTGTTAAGATTTGCGAACAAAAACGTACTATTTAGAATACTCCTCACCTAGCTACTCAAAACACAATTAAAATGGCCCGTTTCGTGATCACGCGATCATGATTTTTAGTTAAGTATCGGTCCATAGATAGATTTTTGCCGCCTCGTTGCGATAACCGTTTGGGAATGTCGAATGCGACGTGTCTAACACGTCTCCAATGGACTGTGGCTCGGCGTGTAATCGTTCGGATTTATCGTATCGAATAACCGCTGTAGTACACCCACTAATAGCCATGTCAAAATTGTTGATACCATGTTTCTTGAAGGTAAAATTAAGTACAAAGTCAAAGGAAAACTCATTCAGAACTCGCTTGATTTATTAAGTCGCGCCTGTCCTGAGAAATGCTACTGCTTTATTGATCCACTGATCACGAAATGGGTTATTTTTTATAACGCTTGGTTTGGGATTTTCGACAGTATATCTTAAAAATCGATCAAATCTCCGATACGTGTTAAAACAAGTGAGTAAAGAATATGTAATAATATAATACTTTTATGATTTTAATTAGGGCGGAATAAGGTTTTACGAAACAAATTGACAAATAAATTATTTGCGATGAGCTTTCTCACAAAATTTAAGTCAATTTATTTTTACACTCAAATTCCGAAAAACGAATGTCTTATTGTATCATATCACATTTGTACATTATAAGTCAATAATATTAAACACTTAGCTATTTATAAACAGTACGGACATATTTGTGTCGCCCGTGACGCGAGCAAATTCACTTTTAATAGTTTTCTAATGGGACCGTTAATTTAAATTTAACTGCCGTCCCTTTAGGGACGTCAAGGGGCTCCTAATTGTGCTCTCGTTAATTCGACCCCACAGTTATTCGAGATTTCGTGAGTCGTTAAATGAACTTTTAGTAATTCGTGACGCCTGTCTACCTGAGCGCGGTACGAAGGCTTGAGTTTGGTGCAAAAGTGTTGAAAGAAGATAGTAGTGAACGGTTTCTTCGCATACTTTTCTCATGTGATCGTTTCTAGATGTATAAATATATTATTATAGTATTTTTGGGCCCGAGCACTTCATCTTCAACCTATGCGTTAACATACCTACTACTTAAATAATGTAAATCCGTTTTTGGCTATAATTTTATTTCATAAGATGTGTATGTGATGATGTGTGATGTGTGCATAGTACCTACGTACGATGTAACAAACAGCTGTGGATTACGTGTGAAATAAATAAAAAAAAATACATTAAAGCATGTTTTATAACTTTCTGAATAACTATTCTTCTTTCGGTGATTATATTTCATTATTTTATTTCTACATAACTGAGTTCGATCTTAATCAAACAAAACTAAACCCTCGTTAATGTGTTAAGTTAAATTTATCAGTCAAATCAGTTTTTCCTTAATATTTTTTTCACGTTTAACGTCGTGAATTAAAGAACTTTGAATTTTAACGTACCAAAACGCTAAGAGCAATGCTGTTACTGAAACGATAGATTTACATACGTTTGTCCGTCTCGAATACAGCGTGAAAAACAACACACGTTACAAGCGAACACGGTTGATGTGTACCAGGGAGTTGAAACCGCACCCAAAGATCGATGAAGCTTTAAAAACTCGAAACGATGAAAAGATGAAGGAAAGCAAACATTTATTGCACAAAAAATCCACACAAGGATTGAACAGTTGGAACATCTTACACATGATAAAGAAGGAACGTTGTCCGTCGTCAAATAAAACCGTTTTATGAATTTTATCGCGTCTGATATTTAATAGTCCATGCTGCATAGAAAACTTTACAGCGCAGACGGATTGATGAACTGACGGGGCAGTCGTATATATAACGTGTAGTATTCGCCTCAAAACAAGTTATCAATATTACAATATCATATATAGTAAAGATACAATGATCGATGGTATATTTGGAACGTAGCGCTGTCGGTTTACGACAATGGAGATAGCGCCACAAGCTATGTCTAGCGGAGAGATTACTCGTCGGTTCGGTCTTATATTAGAGGCGACGATACCGCGGAGTCGATCCATCGACTCGGTCGTTTCCCACGGGCCAAACGCCTATTGCCGCGAGCGAAATCCGCCCGTCCCACCCCCCAATAAGGATCGAAACCGCCCGAGCCGACCGCCAATCCCAGAGCCCCACCGGTAACGCTCGCCGCAATAGTCTGTTCCGCTTTATTCGCCAACCCACACCGATAACAAGGTTATGTCATCTCGAAAAAATCACCGGCTCGCCTGCCGCGCGACTTTATCCCGTAATACCTGTTGCCACGGACCAAACTCCCGCGTACTGTCGGCCCGCGGATGTAGTGACGTCATCGATTACGTTTCGCTATCCGGACGAGATAATGAAGCATTCGCAGTCAATAAAGTGTAATAATTGCTCGTTGACTCAAACGTGTATAAAGTACAACCGGTTCTACGCCACATTGGCGCCGAACGCGTTTATTCAGATTGGGCGCGGAGAAAAAAATATTGTAAACAGGTGCCACGATAAGCGACGTTCGCGTATACAAAATAAACGCGTAGTAGTGGTAAACATGCTCAGACTATGTTGCTAATATTTTGAGTGTTGTCAGTTATGTAATTTAAGAACAATCTCACGTTGATTGTGTTTGGAATAAAAATCGGGCCAAAAACATACTGGTTTATTTTACTGGTGCGTATGTAATTGTGCGGCCCTCGGCATTAATTTTAGTATACTCGTGTCGTAATTTAATTAATCGAACACGCATCTTTCAGCTGTGAAAGAGCACGCGTTGGACCTGCATATATGAGAAATAATTAAAAAGATAAAGCTCATGTAATTTGGGCGCAGCAAATAAATTAAACAACTTGCCTGTCTTTCCATCCGCATACAATGTGGTGGTAATGTTCAGGGCAAGAGTGTATAGGCTTTTACTATGCTAATAGAATAGCACGTTTCTCATAAAACAAAATGACCGTACGACTGATTATCCCTGTCTTTGTATTTATCATGATAGATGCTTCAGTTCGTAGACTATATAAAGCTGCTTCGGGCACAGAGTTCGCAAGGCTGTATTCCCACGAGCTTGATAGACTGTGTCTTAAACCCACTGTGCATAGATGGAAATTTCTGTATAGGATTATGGCATATAACTCACAGTCATTATTGAAAGTTTAATGAAACGATATATTTATTTTTGTATACCTGAAACCATACACTTTTACATGTAGCTACAATATGAAATAGTTCATTACTATAGTTATGATAGGACGGCAAAGGATGTTGTTAACACTTAAGCTAATTAATAATTGCTAGACAAAAAAAATCGCTAACTATCTCTGTAAAGGTCTGTATGTCTTTAACTATTTATATATTGATTTTATAGCCGAAAGGAATACGTTTTCATTTGCAGTAAAAACCATACTCCACGGAAAGTTCCCATTGGCCGAAACGGAATGTCTATTAGCATAGAAAGTGCTTTCTCTTATAGTTTTAACCGGACGGTACCTCACGACCGTCTTAAATGAGTCACAGACGGCGCTTGTAAAAAGTAGTGGGTGGTCATTTTAAAATGTCCGCGTGGCGTATATCGATGCGGCCGGTTCGTGATTCCGGATAGCTGCGACCTTTGCCGGGGCGCATCGTGATGTATCGATATCGACATATCACATTGATAATAATATATATGTAATGATGTACCCGTATCGACATATAGCGATATCGATATATGTGGAATTTTTTCTCGATCGTTTTAATGTTACACGTTCTTTTGCGGCTCCGTTATGAAATGGATAACGTCATTTTGAACAATGAATTTATTGATTTTATATTAACTTTACTTTATCAGCCATTAGTGTCCCACTGTTGGGCAAAGGCCTCCATCCATTTCCTCCACTCCTGTCGTCGGCTATACCAGACCAATCCCTCACAAATGCGTCCAGTTCGTCGTGATATATTAGATTTTATATTTATTTTTGGTTATACAGTGTTATTAACTATGTAATTTTAGGCGTGTTACGAAATTTGATAGGATATTTTAGAGCCTCAAGCTTCTTAAGATTTTCTTAAAAATTATTTTCCTTTACATACTTTAGAAGAGTTTTCAGTCTCAACCACCTGCGACTAGTCATTCGCGTTTTATTCTTTTCTCGATGTTGCCGTCGGCTTTAAAGTTTTCTATGCTGTATTTAACTTTACAAGAACGGACCAAAGAACAAAGGTAAATAATCTCGATGAAAATAAGAATAACAGACAATAATCCCTCCGAATTGTTAAAATTTGAAGTTTGTCTTCTATATACTTTTCGTTCCTGACGCTAAACGCCAGCTTAATACGCGTTGGTATATACAGCTAATTCTCTATCCAAACTCCAACATACCCAGCATACTTTAAGAAGAAAAACAAAAATTTTGTTGAGCCCTATGTAACGTAAGAGACGTAAGTTGCTCTACAGCCGCAGTATTAAAATATTCTTTTCGATATATTACGTTATAGTTAGCTGATGTATTTACCACTTCATAGATAATCATCACAATCATCTTTCAGCCTTTATCCCACCTAGGTGGGTCGCCACAACATGTGAATCATGTTTAAAGCGATTTAGCTATGTTTTTTAAGACTGACGTCAACCCTATTTGGGAAACAAACACCCAGATCCGGAACAAATATATGTGGGTCATACAAATACTTGTCCCGCATCGGAATCGATTCCAGACACCAAAGCCAATAGCTTGGCATGGCATTGGCACCATTTCATAGATAATATATTATAGACAGTGTCATTGTTATAGTCTGTAGGTCGTCGAAAACGCCTAACGGAAGGAGGGTTCGGTGGGAAACGTCACGCAACGTTACGCGCGATTAGGAATGCGTGAGCGATTGTTTCCTTTGCACTCAGCTCTTTGCCGTGCACCAGAACCTAATAGACCGCAACTGGTCAATGACTTGGCTTTAAATAGTGTTCTACGTTTAAAACGTGACATGCAGTGTCTCTGAAACAGAGCTAGCTGCACACTTGTATTGATTTTTTTTTCGTTATATCGTATCACATTCCACAGGTGGCAGTTCTATATAGAAATATATTTACATTGTACGATCCCTCTTTTGAACGTATTTGATCTCTATCTCTTACGTATCATTTTTATTTCGACCGCAGACATTGGAACAGAACCAAAAATTCATCACGGCGTTACTGTAATAAAAGTGAGAGGTTAAATCAATGTAGAATTTAAGACTTATAATGCTGTATATGTATTCATTTTACGTCATATCCGACATCGATATTTTTTTCGTATTCCTGTCACATAGATCTCTTTAAGATGTGATGAAGGACCTCACCAAGCATGTTAATGATAATTTAAAAATTGTTATTTTATCGTTACTTGCTAACAGAGCTGGGAGCGGTGCTCGCGTGGACTATGTACTTTATTCAGATGCTAAAAGTAAAGCAGTAGTCTACACATGCCCTTCTACTGGTCAAAATCATTCTTTGAACAGAGCATAGAAGGACATGATTCACCACACGACCACCGCAGATTTGCAGACTTCGTTACCTCAGTCATATACATTTTTTTGATTATTTCGTAACTATACCAGCTTTCCTTACGATGTTTTCCTTCACCCATGAGCACGTGATAAGTCAGCGCTTTTTTTCCAACATACAAACTCGATTCAAAACAATAGCATTGGTGCTGCAACCGGTATTTGAACTCGGGTTGCACGAGTATGTTGAATTAAAAGCGAGCGCCCTGACACTGAGCTATCACGGATTTTAATCATTAATCAATTTCATGGAGTGGCCAAGTACATGCTAAATACTGGCAATTTAACATTTTTATGTAATACTCATGGAAAAAATTAAGAATAATTTCGGTAAGAATACTTTACTGTGGTAGGGCCACGCAACAGTTTGCTGTTGCACAAATCGGCAGGTCCATCTGTGTAAGTACCACGACCTCACAGAAGACCGCTTCTGCGTTTCGTCTGGTGAGTTAGGTAGCCGGAGCCCAATTTATTAAAAGGTGGCAACGCATCTGCAACCGTACCGGTGTTGCAAATGTCAGTGGGTGGCGGTTATCACTTAACATCAGGTGAACTACCAGCTGGCTTGCCACCTTCTCATAAAGCTTTCAAAAGATTTACACAGTAAATTTGATGCTTCGAAATGACGCGACGAGATGTTGACGATAGTTAAGAAAAAAGTAAATGTTGTGCACCCTGTATACAAGTCTGAATGTTTGTCAAGTTACTTCAGCCGCTTCCCACACAGGTGCTCGAGAGCACGCTCCAGTTAGCTTGGCCGAGAAGAAACCGGTTTCTCGGAATATAATGTTTCTCTTCACGCATCAAAACCGTTGTGTTTACATTATCTATTCAATATGGCACATTTAACTTATGGAGTGCGTTTAATGTGTATTCAATACAGGCACTTTTTCATATCATGCGGAAACTAGAGAAACACTAGTTTATGTGAGAAGGTGGCAAACGAGCTGGCGGTTCACCTAATGTTAAATGACAGCCGGCGCCCATGGACAGTTTGCAGCAGCCGTAGGGTTGCAGATGCGTTGCAACCTTTTAATACAGAGGGACACGGCCACCTCACTCACTAGACGAAACGCAGAAGTATTACACTACCACTTCACGCCGGTCTTCTGTGAGGTCGTGGTACTTACACGGATGGACCTGCCCGTGCAACAGCGAAGACTGTTGCGGGGCCCTGCGACTGTGACATTTGTCGGCATCAAGGGAGAAGAATGGTGCGTGGTTCGAAAACTATTCACGCACTGCTCATTCTTAATGCGCCGGTGATGCGGAACGGCGCGCCTGACAACTTATAAAGCTGCATTCCCACTAAACGGCCTGCGTTCGTACTTCGGCGCGTGTCGTATTTTTAAAATTCGATAAAGGAAATTGAAATAACTGTAGCGTACCGACCGCTTAGCAACTGCACCACCGAGTCATTTTTATCCTTAATAAGGATAATATCCTTGAAATAGTACGAATTAATTACTTTACTTTGAAAATAATCAGATAGGCGGTTGTCAGCCGCCATCAACAATGACTCTTTTGGCTAGGTATATGTGGTAGGGCCACGCAATAGTCTTAGCTGTTGCACGAATCGGCAGGTCTGCCCGCTTTATTATAAGTTGGCAACTCATCTGCAACTCGACAGGTGCTGCAAATCTCAATGGGCGGTGGTTATCGGTATAAGGTGCCACCTTCTCACATAGAAAAATAAAATATCCTTATGAATGCGAGACGGATGCCCTAAATGTTAAAGGTCGCGACACGCGCACGATCTCCGATGTGCGCCGACACGCGCCGCCCGGTGTGAATCGTACCGAACAGTCGGACGATAAAGCGACCGACTATAAATACGAAATAGGGTGGAGTGCCGCGAGGAATGCGCTCCCAGCCGAGAGCAGATAACGCGCCGGCCGACGGCCACGTGAGCGGTGACGTCACCGCGCACACCGATCGGACCCGCCGCTTTATAAGGCAATCGGCCGCAGCCGAATTTTGAATGGGCCCCGATTGGCCGCGGTCGCGTGCTGTGAGTGTTTACGTGTGCAACACGCTTTATTTTTGTCTTTCCTAACAAGGGAGTTGGATTGATGTAAATTACATTGTTCGTGTAGATATTTCGTTGTCGATTGTGCAATTTATTACATGTAACTCTTTACCCGCAGATTGAACGCGTGCGTGTCGGAGAGGGTTGTTATCACGATCATTGATATCGTAGCGCCGTCGTTTGAGAGACCCTATAAACACCTAATGTCTGGCGTAAGACTTAATTAGTTTACGTAGGGATTTAACTTCGATTTTAGTAGATAAATTGTCGAACAACTTTTTTCGATTCTGTCATAGGTAATTCAAACCTGCGTCTTCTATGTCTAAGTGTCCAATGTCTTCACGGCGCGTAAATCTCTTCAACTATATACTTTTTATTTTTAATATTTAGGACTACTTGGCGTAGTGAGCAACTTTACAGTGTGCCGCCATTTAGATGAGATTTTACAATGAACATCATACTAGTAACGATGGGTTGACTGTTGAAATCTCGCGGACTTTTACTGAAAGATTAAAAAAAGAAACTGAGTAAGCAATGCACCCTTCTATCCGTCCCGTTTTTTTTTATGTGATAAAGTGGTAAACGAGCTGGCGCTTTACCTGATGTTAAGTAATACCCCCGCCCATGGACATTTGCAACACCCGTAGAGTTACAAATGCGTCGCCACCTTTAAATAAAGTGGGCCCTGGCTACCTCACTCACCAGACAAAACGCAGAAGTACGGACGCAGAACGCCCGGATGGACCTGCCCATTTGTGCAACAGTGAAAACTGTTGCGTGGCCCTACCACAGTTAAAATATGAATAGTTTTGATAAAGGTAGAAGACAAGAATGAAGAAAGCAACACCGCATTGAATGACGCGCTCGTCGTTTCCACGAAGTGCGCATTCTACTGTGACGGGGGCGGATGGCACGAAGCCTTTTTATTATTCATCCGTTCGCGCCACGGTTTGTTTGTGCGGTGACACTGACGCGGGCAACGGGCGGTCGCTCGCCGTAACCGGTCAAATATTGTTTGGTAATTTTTTATCCACGTCCCAGTTATCGCCGACTTGGACTCCCGAACAATGCCCGACGCATGGAATCCTCGATGGTCTTATTCCGAAGAGTCCCCCGACTCTTTATTTATCATTACCTAGGATGTTTCTAGATACCCTTTTCTCCGAATTTCAATTGAAGTATGTAGAGCGTGTTTTATAATCTATCCACTCCACTTCCCAATTTGTCTTAATGTGAATACTTTTTTATGGATTTGAATGTTACTATATTTCAACGGAGAGAGTTATCAACATTGACTTCTGAGTTTGCTGTGCTTTATTCGAATATGGTGGCTGAAGAATCGGTAACGTCATCTTTTGAGTCTACCGACGATGTGTGTCCATGAGCTATCGATGCTCATGGCCACCCACATCGGTGTCACGGACTGATTGGAAACTTTTTAAGTGAACCGTTTGACCGTTTGCTTATTGAGAGAAGAATGAAGAGGCGCTAGAGGGCTTTTCTTCTGCGTTCACCCTGGCCCCATCCAGCTTACAACGCGTGCATCGAAATACCCACGCCTATTTAAATCCGTTGCTATTTTCGATACGCGTACACGCACACGGTCGTGCGTATTACGCGAAACCGCCGTATACTCAGCTAAATTTAAACCGGCCCGCGTTACGTCTACGTTTCACGTACGCACGCTCTCACGCGCGCGCCGCTCTTGATATTCGGAACGCGATAAATCAAACCCCCCGCCCACGTCGCGCCCCATCGATGATGGAGCCGATGCGATCTGCCGCGCGGAGACTGATTGCGCTCATCCTGTGCGGGTGACCACGATTTTTGGGGCCGATTCGGGATAGCACTTATTATACCTAAACGAAAACAATCAGCGCAGGGGGAATATATGCCTCTCGTACCTAACGTCTTATTTTATTTTTTATTTTAAAAACCTTTAGCCTAAATTTGAGATAACATTATCCTGTGTTGTGAGGACATTATACAAATACAAATTTCACGTGGACACACCCAAATGCGAAAGTACTATGTGTGACGCCGGAGCCATTACCTTAGCGACTTCGCCACGGAATCACCAAATAGCAACCCTACAGGGCGTTTAAGACGTTCATGGGTATAACTGCTTAACGCCAGGTGAACTACCTAGTCGCTTTTTATGAGCTTGATGAGATGTGAGTTGTTTTCTCACCACCATATTCGCCAGATTTAGCTTGTTGCGATTGTTTATGTTCCCAAATTTTGTTTTGGGGTTTTGTTTTGTTGTTCCAATTAAAAGACCATACATGAAGCGAACAAGCCTATTTCAGAGGGTTGTCTAATTCTAGTTTCTAAATAGAATTTACTCTTAGTTCAGACATAACCCTCCATCGTATGCACGTATTTCTTGTATCCTTATATTGTATGTTATGCATTTTGTCTGATATAACTGGGTAAGTTTTGACTTTTCATGTTCCAGTTACCTTAGAAACCCCTCCGTTGTGCAACGAGGGTCTATAATTGCTATGACTATGGCTTATGGTTTAAATCCCACAATGTTTATGTACACCCTCTGCCATAACCAGCGCTTTCGTACACTCGGAAGGTTCATTAATTAGGACTCTGGCCGGTTGGTAGAACCCACACCCACCATATCATTCAAGGGCCTAGAACCTTTTATGAATAAGTAAACGGTGACTAATCAAAGGGTGTGGTCGTAGCAATTCTTTTGGTTGTCGTTATGGGAATTATATTAACACAGATTTTCCCAATGATAAGGAGATTGTTTGTTTAATACGTTTGGAAGCTTTGTTCTCTACTGTTGAGTGTCCATAGGTGGCGGTTCTTACGTAGTACCATCATCCTACACACCGTTGCCAAAGCTTTGAAGTAAAAGATAAACAGTTACTTTCTTTTTTAGATAAAAATGTGTGAACTTTGATTACTCCCTCTATAAAAGTTTCGAAATAATAACGCTCTTTTTAACTTATAGAAGCAGAGTTTTTCGTTAAAAAAATGATGAACAAAAAAATGGAACACCTTAAACAACAGCCAAATTCAGTAGTTGAAACATTTTCACAAACATTTTAACGCCGCGGCTGGTGACAAGAGAGCTGGTTCTTTTCTCGCTCAAAGGTTAAGCATAACTATTCAGCGAGGAAATGCAGCTAGCGTTCTTGGCACCATGCCACGTGGATTAGGTTTATTAGATAATATGTAATTTTAGATAGATTTAATCTTGTAAATATTAGATCAATAAAGATTTTAATATTTCTTTAAAAAAATATTTTTTTTCACAAACGCAGAAGCTTTTGTTACCTAACGCCGAAATAACGCATAAATTTAGAACTAGGTTCTGTGACGATTGTGAATAGAAATGTTTGCAGTTTTCTTTTTTGTTTAAATGCCTCGCGAAGAGAACCTTTAAGACCTGGGAACCTTCATTCTTTTAAGGTTCCCAGGTCTTAACCTCTCTTCTGGGAGCGTATTCTTTCTTAAAAGGCCACCAACGCATTTGCAAGCCCAAGCCCTCCGGTCTTGCAGATGTTCATGGGATGCGGTGATCACTTACCATTAGGTGAGCCCCCTGCTCGTTTGCCCCATTAAAAAAGACACCGGAAGAGACACGAATAGAAAATTCCATCAAGTACTAAAGACGACACCTTTATTGTCTGTGGTCGCTCTAGATGCATCCGGCAAAAACTTGTAATTTACGTTCGACGCGTTTGATTCATGCGTTTGTGGGTTTTTCTCTTGGTTTTCGATTTAAAATAATTACCATTGACCCGACTGTTGGTTTTTATGATAACGGAGCAAATCTCGAATATTAAAATAGCGAAGTTTATTTACCCCTGAAAGTTTTCATTTTGATCAGAGCTTCGAATACACTTTGGATCTTTGTGATATTTATGATTTTTGTGCAACTTGTAATTGGGGAATGAAGAAGGAAGGATAAAATTAAAATTTTTCAGAAATTTTGTTTTGTTCTATTTCATGGCTGTACTTCTAGGTCTATCTATATATTTGTGATTAGCGTATGTTGGTTTATTGAATATAGAATATGTTGTGAGGCAGCCGGGGCCCATTGATTTTAATTATTGGCAATGTACCTGCAACTCCTCAGATATTGTAGATGTTCATGCGAGGTGCCACTTAACATCAGGTTGAACACTTGCGCTGTTACCAACGTTCACAAAAAAAAACAATTACAGGAAAAGGCAGTATTAGAATAATTGTCAAAGAAATTGTAGTATTACAGTATTCAGTGCTGACTATACATTGGCTTCCAAAGTGATAAATACCTTGATCTCTCTTTCTTACATATTCGTTGTGCTTGTATAAAGGATCTTTGTTTTGAAAAGCAATTTGAGACGTCACAGAATACTTAAAAGTTCTCTTTGATTAATGGTCCCTTAAACATTTTACGAGTCCCGATGGAGCATGCCCAAACAGACGCCTCTAATGGTAAGGTAATTGATAGTCTTTACAGCCCAGCGTAAAACTTATTTTTTTTAAAGTTTTATAGCCAATTAGGAGAGATTTATGTTGGAAACAAACATTCAAGTTGATCAGTTCAGTTTAGTTTTTTTTTATGTTAAAATTTTCCAAGCCAGCAGACGGTTCACTTGATTTTAAGTGAATACCGCCGTCCATGGACATCTGCTTCACCCGAGGGTTCCAGATGCGTTGACAACCCTTTGAAAATTGGGCTCCGGCCACATTTGTCCTTCGTAGAAATAAATCAAGCTGTTTATCTTCTTGATTTACTGCTTAAGTAGATTATTATTACTCATCCAAACCCGCGCCAAGGACCACATAATTTAATCTTCTTTGAAAGATTTTAAACTCTTATTTTTTTAACTCAAATTATGTATTGTAATTATGCGATATGTTTATTATTTTTTTATTTAATTTTTTAATAATTATTTGTATATTTTTTATGTAATTTATTGATAATTATTTAATAATGTAATTTGTACTATATTAAATTCTACCGTATTTCCTTTTATTTGTTTTGTTCTGTCAACTTTAAGCATGTTGTTAATTAGATGTACATTAATCTGTACCTAATATTAGTTCATGTTGTGCGTACCAACATTTTTATTAACGTAGCAACTTATAGGTGTCCTAATAAAGTAATAAAACTACCCAGGGAACAACGCTCCGGTGTATGCGCCATTACTCTAAATAAACTATGAAAATGAATTTAAATACTTTGACCCATGGAAGGTCATAGATAATTTAGTTTAAATTAAAACCGATGTGTAGCAAAGTAGCTGTCCTTTAACTTGTAAACACTTGAAGTTCTGAAGCCGGAGATTACCAGTACACGTAAATATGTACTAAAACTATTACATCATGTGATAATATTTAGGAAAGCGTTGTACAATTTATTAGACGTAATCGCACGAGTGTGTTTGAACATAACGTAATATATTTGCCTTGTATCACGCAAATACAATATGCCGTGACCATGAATGTTGTTGTTCCCATATATTCATCACACGTTCTCTCTTCAATATAATAAATAAGTTTGAGCGTAAGAACAAAATCTATTGAACGACGTATTCATTCCGATACTATTCTCATGCAAATAATCTGTCGTGAAAGCGTTAACTTCTTAAATAAAACCGTGCAACGCTTTTTGGCGTGTTCGTCGTGTTAAAATAAATCTTTGTTGATTTACACGCTTTTAGAAATTATTGTACGCACGTTGTGTAAAATACCCTCTTTATGTTTTAGTTATGTTTATAAGATATATTCCTCTTTCTGGTCGTGTTATCATCATATCATGTCTGATGATTTCGGCGGTTGTCGTTTGAGCACTAATGAGATCTCTCCATCGATTCCGCTCCATCGCGGTCCTCACCACATCGTAGACACTCCGAGACGGTTCTGTGTCCTCGAGCTGGTCAGCCCATCGTGCTGGAGATCGGCCACATGTGATAATTAAGTGGGATTCCCAATTTTAAACGTACGTAGAATGCATATGGTTAGATTTTTCCTTTCTTTTGATTTCCTCGTCCTCGAAGAAGTTATTGCACTAGTGAGATATGATTGTTACCTACCTAGTGTATAAATTTTATGTCACTAGTGTAATAATTTCACTGTTACTGGCAACAGTATATGAATTAAAATTTTACCATGTTTGGTTTAGCATAAAAGATTGATTAACCAATTAAAAAAAACTATTCCGCGAATGAGTGGAGACTTGTTGCTTTACAATAATTTAAACTTTTGCCTTTATGTCGATGTGTGCATAATCTTTCCTGGAACGAATTCCGCGGCTAATTGTACTTCAAACAAAAAAACTACTTTTACAAAACTAATTTTTTTTCTTTTGTCAAAAGGCCTTCTTAGATCGTACACAATAAGTTCAGAAATTTCCATTAAAAAAATCTCAGTACGGCTTCTCTCAAACCGTAGGTATTCTCCCATTGTTGTTTTGGTCGTTACCAGGAGCGCTCCGAATTAAATGGCAATGGAACTTGTAAAGGGCACCTTTCTATTCGGAAATATGAAATTATAATTGTGTCTTCTTCTGCTCTCCCGTTATTTATCCTTCGGTTCTGAGCTACGGCCGAATTTTAGGATGCGGCGAAACACGTCGATAGTTGGTACTGCGCTGTTGTAAAACGTCGTGCGCGCTACCGCTGCCCTACTAAAGGGTTGCCTTCTCCGTTTCCTGTTGTTCGAAAACATAAAAAGAAAAGATAGTAACGTTTGCGTTATAATTTTCGATAAATATTATATTTTTTAGGGTCCCGTACCCAAAGG